AAGCAGGAGTGACATTACAGAAAGTGTAACGTCGAGGAAATTCCTAAAAGAAGAGACAATGAAGAAATTAAACTCCTTCCTTCGTAAACGTGGAAGTGATGCTTGTTCACGCTCATCACACTTCCACACTTGTGCGGTGACGGTTAGCTTTTGAAGTAACGTCCAATCTTTTCTTCTCAAGTAATAACATAGTCTAAATGATTACTTTTAGCAAAGAGTTTTTGTACTTGTAAACCATTATTTTAGAGCGCACCTCTTAGGCGCCCGTTTCCGCCTAGAGCGGCGTCGCCGTCGCCGCCGGCGCAACCGCGCGGTGCATTATGCGTAAATTTCACCGCTAAATTTAGCGAAAAATTTTCCCAGTTAATTCTAGCGGCAAAAATTTCTCCGCAAAATCTAGCGAAAGAAGTTATCCGCAAATTTAAAGGAAAAACTCCCCTCTAAATTTAGCGGAAAAATATCCCCGCTAAATCTAGCGGAAAAATTTCCCCGCTAAACTTAGCGGAAACAAATTTCCCTTTAAATCTAGCAAAAAAAATCTCCGCTAATTTTGTCGGAAAAAATTTTCCCTCTAAATCTGGCGGGAAAATTTCTCCGCTAAATCTAGCGGAAAAAGTTCCCCGCTAGATCTAGTGGGAAAATGTCCCCGCTAAATCTAGCGGAAAAATATCCCCTAAATGGAAGGCGAGCAGGAGAGGAGGAGGGGCAGAGCCTCCTCTCCGTACCTTCCCCTCCTCAAGAGTTGCGCTCTAATGCGGCGTTACAGGGAGTTGTAAACGGCTTTCATTTTTTTGCCAGTAACGTTGCATCAGACGAACAATACTGAGCATGCGCAAAGGTCTACTGATGTGGGGGGGGGGGGGGGGGCAGCCTGACTGAAAATATCGTAATCTATACACCTTTGCAGCGCGTATCGTCACGCGAAATGAACCGAATCGCTTGGCTCTACACGCACGCGCAGTTAGGTGATAATATATAGAAGAGCACTATCGTTCGAAAAGCGTTTCGCTCAGACCAGGGGCGAGGATGGTAAACCGTACTGGAGACGATATCCGGAATAGTCTATAGACCAAAAAAATGGCTCTGACGTTACACCGCCATTGTGGCGCTGTTGTCGGCACTGAGCATGAGCAGACGTTTTGCTATTCGAGCGAATCTGGTTTCCGCGCATGCGCAGTGGCCACACCAAGTGTGGGCGCCAAACGTCAACTTCTCTTGCAAACGGCCTGTCGGTCTTTACTTGCTGGTACGCTCGCTGCCGACTCGAGGCGGGCAGAACGCCGCTGCCAGCTATCTTGCGTATCAGCTTGAAAAAAAAAACGCGCGTGCGCCAATGAAATTGCCGAAATCTGTGCACGGCCGCTCACACGGGGAGCTCAATCGCCGCTTTCTTTATTCTTTTGTTCACGGTGCTCCTGCAGCGCCATGAGAAATTATTGCAGGGGGCGAAGAAACACGAGAAAAACATTTCAAAATTTGCGGCACAAACAATTTCACATGACAAGGCATTCCAGCACGTAATAGATTTAAAAAAAAAAACGAATTTTTGCCCAATTATGTTTTGGTGAAGTTCCCGTATTTTATGTATCTGATCTTTTTTTTTAATATGTGATTTGGAGGTAATAAGTAGTATGAGCTGTTAATGCCTGTTGTATTATAATAAATACTGTATAGAAACGTCAGGAGCAAATGTTTTGGTCGTTGTGCCAATGGATACCATTCTAACTCTTTAATGATGTTGGTGTCACTTTCAAAACGGTCGTACCGCGTCAGGACGAATCCAGCTGCACGATTCTGTCTTCGCTGTAGTGCAACAACATAGTTTTCCTGAGAAGGGTCCCTGACGGGGCAGGCGTACCCCAAAAACGGGTCCTACAGCGTTAAGGTAGGCGAGCTCCTGGATTGATTTAGGGAGCTTTTTTTTTTTAATTTCGATTCAAATATCGAAGTGCTCGGCCGGCCATCATCACAACATCCTCATTGTGAACGTCGAAAGTGCAGTCAGCTGATAGTGTGACACCTAGATTTTTAACTGCTTGGTTCTCGGGTACAACTTCCTCAATCAACGTATAATAAGTTTCAGTTTTCGTCTTGGTTTTGCGGGTAAAACTAACATGGACACATTTTTTTAACATTGAGCTCCATTTTCCACTTTTCGCCCCATTGCTCTATTCAATTCAGGTCAGTCTGCAACCGAGTGGGACTCTTATCGTCTGTTATACATGTGTAAACGACACAATCATCTACCAACAAGCGTACTTTCGAATTGAGAACACCAATGCAATCATTATCTAATATCAATGGTAACAACGGTCCCAAAACAGAGCCTTGCGGAACGCCAGGTGTAAGCTCATAAAATTAGAATTTTCATCATTCAAAATACCACACTGACAACTTGAGGATAGATATATTTTTATCCATATAATTATGGCAGTTCCTAAGTTTAGGAGCTCTAATTTGTGTAATGACAGTGAGTGTGACACTTTGTCACGTGTTTTTTTTTTTATAATATAAGATCACACAGTCAATTTTTCGTCTCCGTCAACATTCGTAACGAAATAATAATTCAGCTTAGTCAGTTGCGTAATGCATGAATGCATACACAACTGACCGAGCCCGTCCTGTGACGGGTTCGGTCTGTTGAAGCCCGTCTTGTGACTCAAAGAAAAAATTATGAAAGATAAGGTTATTTATTATGTTAGATTATAAAACATGTTGAAGTAACTTACAACGTATAGACGTTAGTGAAATTGGCCTATAATTTGTAATTTCCCTTCTGGGCCCTTCCTTGTGCACAGGAACCACGAGTGCCACTTTCCAGTCGTCTGGTAAAGAAGCATCATTGAACGACTTATAAATATCATATCAACAGGTATGGGGCAATTGCGTCAGCACAATGTTTTACTATTCACGGTGAGATCCCGTCTGGGCCTAATACTTTAGTTCGATCAAGACTTTTAGAAGCCGTAACACACCTCCGTCACCAAGTTCACTTCTTGGCATTATCATTGCCGGAAGCCGTATTCTTATCTACAGTAACTGACACTTCAAGAAACACACGGCGTGGCTCATTGTGTATTCTGAGTCTGATGATTGACAATCTGATGATCGGGGCGTTTAATCATCAGGAAACCTGATTATTTCCTGATCAAGTAAAACAAACCCCAACTACCTCAACTATTCACATTATTATGTTTGCCCATTTTGCTTTGTGATTAATTCCTCGGTGCTATTTCGGCTAAACACCATGATATCATTTGCTACGGAGCGATAATGAACCGCTCAGAGCTTATAACGACCTGCGTTTTATATGCTCTCAGTTAACATAAAAACTGGACAGCTTGAGACAGACACGAATCACGCAAACGTGCCATCTTATTGATGCTATTTAACAGCCTACGGGGCGTCCCCCCAAAAGCACTTAGAGTGTTTCTGTCATTGCAAAAATGAACAAGGCATCGCCCAACGCTCATTCGGCGCTCAAACGTTGTGCTTGCGGTCCGCTCCAGACGCTAAAGCTTCGGGAATAACATAATTATCTTAAACAAAAGTTATAAACTATTTTCCGAAAGTTTCATTGGGAAAATAGAGCACGTTTTCAGCCCCCTTTTCCGGTAACTGGCACCATTCAGCTCCGTGTCTTTGAAGCTCCGCCGGCACCATTTTCCCATTAAATATATAAAAACAAATGCGACTTATATCTTCTTGAATAGGATAACAGGGTGTTTTAAAACTTTGGCATCTAATTTTAGGCCCCTAGCACTTCACTTGGGCAGAGACTTATCGTTGGGAAACGCGTAATTATTTTTTTTTTTTTTGCTGTAAAAAAACAAGAGTGCAAATTTGTTTTTGGGGCATCCTGTATATTCAAATTGGAAAATATGCGCCTATGCTTTTTTTCCACCCGTGCAGCATGACAACTTTACTTAAGAAACTTGGTTACGTCACTACACTCCTCTATTCTCTGCGTACTGTTTTACGCATCTCAGTGTTTATTAACATGCGCGCTGTTCCGCACAAGCGTGAGCACTGCGTCTGCACAGAACGCGTTTTTTTATTTTTGGAAGTTGGCTTTTGCGCATGTGCTTTTGTTCTTCTGGATGACGTCAGAAACACGAGCCTTGTTGTTTCTTTCGAAGTCGCGGTGCCTGCAAAAAATCCGTGACTGTCGGCCACTAGAAGAATTAGGACACACGCGCGATGTCTACAATCTTCTGGGTGCATTGTTCATTCAAAGCGCTAGCAGCGGCCCCCTTTGCCGTAAAGCAACACTAGATGAAAAAGCTCGCGAAGTGAGCTTTCCTTTGATGTCCAAAACTTTACTTGAAAATACTAGAGACTTACAAACCATGGCATGGTTTTAGAACAAACAAACAAACATCTAGACTCAGAAGGTAAAAAAAAAAGATTATTAACCTTTTTTTTTGTTTTTTTCTAAACAGATATATTAAACGTTCATCGTGAGAATCAATGGACGTTTTTAGCACTACTTAACGTTGAAAGGCTAAGAGACGTTATGACCTGTGAGAAGGCACATGAACATTTCGAATGTCGCAAAGTAAGTAAAAGTGTACTACTCGATTCGCAACATTCGGGCTCTTTTCCTTGTTAGTTTGAGGCCAGTTCTGATCGCCGTCATATCACATTATTAACGTCTTTGGCTTTGAAGGACGAGTTAACTCTTTTAAAGATGCATTTCGATCTTTCAGTGTTAAATGCAGATGATCCTTCTTGCGACAGAGAGCGTTAAATGTTTTGAGGGGCATGTAGCGTGGTAGAAAAGAAATCGTTATGGTCTTGTTGCTCCTGAGCCAAACTGAGCATCAAATGGCTAACCAAAAACATTATGGCTCCACGCATTAACATGAGGCTTTTTTTTTTAATTTTTACACTCGGCCTAGTTTATTTAGGAGCGATGTAAATTTACCATAAACAGCGCATACTAAAGTCAAAGCGCTGGGCGTTCTGAATTTACTCAATTTTTGTTTGATTCTTTTCAGCGAATATGCCGGCGACACAAAGGCTACGAAGTCCTTCTGGAGGTGAGTACTGGTGCACCATTTCACGTGATTGAAGATCGGTGAGCACTTATTTTCTCGGCAAGATTCGAGGGTGTGTGTTCGTGTGTTGGTAGTGGGGGAGGGTTGACTGTAATCTCGTAGCAGGCATAAGTTAGTGACGCATCAGGTCATAAGCCTAGGCACTTGCAAAATATAAGTAGAAAATAAAACGAAGTACAGCGTGTCTTACCTAAATATGCATTGTATTTTTTAACCGTGCAAATACACTACGCATTTCCGAACGCTCATTCTCCGCCCAAAGTTGGCGCTAGCTGTTCGAATTAGATGCCAGAGTTTCAGATCTAACTGTGATCTCAATAAAAAGTTAAAAGTGATTTTTATTTTAATTTAAATGAAACAAAAATATTTTCGTTTTCACCTGTCTTCGGTAAATTGCGCCATTTGGCTGCATGTATTGACGAACTTTATCGACCGTCATTACCCTATCGAATATTTTCGGAAAATCGCTTACACCCTTGAAATGAGATAACGATTAGTTCCGAAACTTTTCAATCTAGTTCGAGCCGCTATAGGGCTACATTTGGGTGGAAAATAAGCGTTCAGTGATGCGTAATTTAGTTTTGCTGTAAAGAAAAAAGCTGTCAACTTTTTGGGAATATTTTGAAGATCAAAGAGAAACATTGTGCCTATTGTTACTAAATACGCGATGCTTTATAGTAACTCCACTTCATCAACCTTGGTGCTTCTAACGTCATGGTGTCCACTAATCTGGAGCTTTAAGTAGAATGGACAGTCATGCTTTTCCCTTCTTCAGAAACCTTAAAGCGTTCGCGACAAAGCAAAACTCTTTCGCCCGAGCAAGGTCGCATTTCTTTTTTTTTTTGTACTAGGCACAAAAGTTGATTGTCAGAAAATTGAGTGCCGATATTCTAAGCTTAACCTTTTTGGCGGTTCAAATGGAACCCGGTCCCACTAGCACGACAAACACCAATACTTGTTGAAAAAAATGCATTTCGTTTGTCCTTCGTCAAATCAAGTTCGTTATAAGCCACGGTCACACTACGAATATACCGTACAAAATATACATTTTAAAGACACTACCTGAGGTCTGTTTCTTCCTAGTATGACTGTTCCGCCCATTCGGACCTACAAAAACCGACTACACAAGTGTTCCAAGCATACTTATCTTCGAAGAAAACATTAGCTTCGAACGGAATGGAAACGTGTCCGCCTTCAATTTCGTCGCCGTGTCTTCGGCGAACACGCTGTCTTTTGTAGAATGTGTGGAAAGTGTGACATCGGCAGTAAAGAGGCCCGGCTATAATCTCCCGGTGAGCAGCGCGTTCGCGAACATGTTCGTTTTTGTCCATCCTTTGACGCTTCCGTGTACACTACAAAAGGTGTCAGGAGAGGTGTACTCTAAATGTCCGACGTGTCAGTGTCAGTGTTTGGCCTGTCGTTGTAGTGGGATACAACTCCGTTTGGAAATGACCTAAACGTAACTAAGGAAAAGGCTGTAGCGAAATTGTTACTTTGATGGAAGTTATAAGACTACTCTACAGCTATAATGTGACGATATATTAATATTATGTATGTGCGCATAGTAGTTCAAATCCAATAGCACTGTGTCATTCATAAACTACCGTATATAGTATAGTGAAAAAAAATAAAAACTGCAGAAAATATGGTCGCTTTTTACAGCATCAAAGCTGAGGGTGACACTTTGCTATTTGATTCGAATTAAAAGCCCAACACTCAAAATGAAGAATAACTTAAACGAATAAATCTACAAACTGCATAAATCTTTCTTTTAGAGTAAACTGTGAAGAGGAGTATTTTTGTCACTATTCCTAAAGTCCAGCAAAAAACGACCTTCACGGCTTTTCTTCGCCAGGTTTCCCTCACCCCATTACTGAAACGTACCTCTCAGTAAACCCTCTTGACTTCCCTCTTTTTTTATTTCTCGCTGGAGAAGGCCGTGTTGATTGAAGCACGGAACGCTGAGCTGCTGTATCGGCACGTTCACAAACGCACGCTCGGCAAACGCGAAAGCAACAATCAACGACGCCTTTCTCGACCCCTTACCGCTCCGCCTGCACGCAGAACCATTTGGGCGAAATAACCCGACGTACTCGCACCTCTGGGACCAGCCGACAAACCAACCAAGCAACCTTTCCACCCGGAAGTTATAATCGCCATCAACGGCGGTGGCGTATGTTTTTGGTTCCTTCCGGGACATCGGCTGGGTCAGCAAGCATTCTCCCACCCGACCTAGCGTCGAGTGCCAGGCAGCAGACGACCACATACACTTCGCGCTGCGCTGATGTCTACCCATTACTTGTTTTTTGCTGAGTCATCTTCGCTCGAAACACTACTCCGTTTCACTTAACGATGGACCGCCACGGTCGCTATCCTAGCCATCCTAACCAATCCAGCGTTCTGAAGGTGTAAAGTTACTACGTGGTCTGCGCGTCCTTGCCTCCCCCTTCCCAAAGATCACGTGATTTTCACACGCCTTTTCATTGGCTCAGACAGCTCGTACCGTCCACTGCGGTCAGTTCTAGGTTGAGAGCGTAAGACGGAGTCCTGATGTTCTCCTTATGGTTCGTGCTGCTTGGTTTCAGGGGAAGAACGCGGGAAAATGCTGCTCTGGTAGAAACGGAGCGCACTTGCTTTGTTTTCGTTGATTTCTTTTGTGTGATGTAGTGGTTCCCGCCGCATTACGTTAGGCTTAGAAGTGGGCTGCTGTCTGCTAGGGGGGGGGGGGGGGGGGCATTTTCGGGGAAAGCGTGCGAGGTCTGGTCACTTGAGGTAGATGGTAATTGCTCCCCGGAGGACTGCTGCGTGTTCCGCTGTACCGCTCGTTCCTTCGAAGAAATAGCGCAGAGCGAGAGTTGGGAAGTGTGGCTGAAGAGTGCTATCTCTTTTTCAAACTTGTTTGTGCGAGCGTTGAGATAAATAAATAAAAATATTGAAGTGACACTTTTTCCTGGTGTTAACTATTCGCCGTATTTCTCATAATTGGGTCAAGGTGTGCATTTCTTAAACTTTCACTGTTTTCTGTGCTGACAAAGGAAAGTGCCAGAAGGCTCCGTTAAATAATGCACTTACCTGTATTTGCAAGTGGTCAGCACATGTTTTGTGGCAAATGTGGTTGTGCCAAACTACTCTTTATTGAGCTTGTAAACTTAAAATCTTCAAAATGTACGATTCCTATCAGCTACGTTTTATGGACATTTCATTTTATCTTTCTTTTACCGCAGTGGGCATTCTATGATGTACCCACGACTACATTATCTTGGTGATTATGTAGATGAATTTCATACGAAAATAAAAATACGGAGTTTTACGCTTCAGAAGCATTATTTTCTCTTTTAAGCAGTTTCCCGAGTCTATGACGAAACCCTGTGCCGTAGTCTTCAAGACGCGACATCAGGACGACATTCATTCAAACGTCATCTTCCCGCTGTAGGCATTAAAGGAAAGTTAAATAGGTTCTTGAAAAAATAAAGATAAAATAGACGTGAATGATTCTGTATTTCTGTCCCGTAAATTCGATTATCACAAGCCTTTGGCCCAAACGTATATCTGGACGAAAAATAAAAAAGAAAAAAAGAAAGGAAACGCAGTGTGTGACGTCATACCCAGGAGTTCCAATTGCCTTCCGGGTGCCGCTTTTGACGGAACGTGAGCAGCGCTTTTGATTGCTCGAGTAAGGCTTGCGGAAAGCGCAGAAACGTTGAGATCTCTGCATGACGTCACGACTCCCTCCTCTCACCGAACGCGCCGAGAACAATGCGGGGCTTAAGCGCTATTCTCAAAGCACTATTGTGGTTAAAGTTGGCACATCAATCCGAAATATAATTTTGATAGTCGTGATCCTAGAGGTCATATAAAAACAATTTCTTATTTTCTTTTCTTTTAAGTACAGAACTACTACAGTTGCCCTACTGGGCGCGAACGCACGTGCGAAAAACCAACCAAAGAAAATAAAGCGAGCGTATGAAGGTGTAGCATGAAAATATGGTTCCACACCATTTTCCACAAATGGAACCACAAGAGGGTAGTTGGGGTGCGGAAATTACAAATATACAGAAAAAGAGTGAGGGAGAAGGGGAAATGGAAGAGCGTCGTGACGCGCTTTCTTTTGAAGTATTCGTGGGCACAGACGCTAAAGCTTTGTCTTTGCCCCAGTCTTGAATAAGTTAATAAAGAAATGTAATCGCTACAGTTAAAGTCACTCTTGCATAAAAAGTATTCAGTTAAACTAATAAACTACTCAAGAAAAGTAATTGAACGCTGCTTGAAAAAGTAACTGCTGCATTCCCAATTGCTTCCGATTTTCAAATAGACGGATTTGGCTGCCTGTTTGAAGACGAGTCTTCCATGCTGTCAATGACTGAGTTAGAATCAGAAAATTATGCAAACTACTCATGTTATGTATAGACCAATATCGGAAGACCGTCCTCTTGCCGTAATTTTGGTTCAAGAAGACGTTGGTAGAAAAATGTTGGAAAACCATTGAGGTCACAAGGAAGAAGAAAGAGTAAATAGCAGCGATTACGAATAAACTCGTCCAGCTTACACGTTTACTACAGATTACATATAATGTTAATACTGACAAAAGTAATAAAATTACTCTGGTGATTACTTCCTAATAAACGTAATCAGACGACTGCAACATATGTTTTAAAAAGTAATAGATTATAAGTAATTTGATTACTAGTAAGGACTTGCGTACCTGTCTGCTCTCTGCCCTCTGTCTCCCTCGACTCGCAGCGCACAAGACGTGTACACGCAGATATAAAAATTAACTGGTTACGATTGCAATCACTCTTAATTTAAAGCAATCAGTTAGATTACTCGATCACTTGAGAAGAAAGGCAATTGGACGTTACTTGAAAAAGTAAGCGTTACTTTTCTAATTACTTACGATTTTCAAATTACCCGATCTTTCCCCCGGTGTGAAATGGGTTTCTTGTACAGTCTACTATTGCATTAGTATCGCCAAATTGCAATCT